TACTAATCATATTGATTTACTCGAAATGATAAATTTTTATAACCTACTTCATCGAAGATTTTTTTTAAGCATTTGCTGATATGGTTGTACATTATAATCTTTATTCACCTATTAGCTTATTTTTTGTTACTGTATTTTACTTTTTTCTCCATTTTACTAAGAGTAATAAAAAAAAAGCTAATTAGTATACGTATAAGTAGAAATTCAATCAACTATATGTCCTGACCTTTCTGACATTGTTAAGATCAGTAAAACTTTTGTTTTTCATTCACTTTTCTAATCTTTTGTATCTTATTGTATCTCAAGTCAAAAAACAGTAGCTTTATAGCTAAAATATAAAATATTATGCTGGTTGTTGTATTTTATATATAATAAAAAAATTTTTCATTTGTCATGATGATCTTTACTTATAAAAGTACTTTAAAAATTACAATTGACTGTATAAAAAAAAAGATCGTCACCAATTATATTTATTCTAATTTCAGCCAATCAAAACGAACTTCTTTAATGCTAGATGCAAATAGTTTACTATTTATAGCTATGATTAACTTATTGTGTCATATGCACAAATGGACATGTTAATTAGTGCTATAAATAGTAAACTATTTTTATCATGAGTCCAAGGTGCTAAACTCAAAATTTTATTTTAAAATACAGGGAGATTCCGAGTTCCTGCAATATATGAATTTTGACAAAACTACTGATTAAGAACATTATACTTATTACCCTTATAGCCTTTTTAGAATGCAAAGCATCCTTGCTTCATAGAGTCCTATTCTTATTATAGGATCTTATATAATAAGAAAAGTATGGTCTATTATTCATAAAATTGGTTAATGGTTAAAAAATTGATGTTGGAGAAGAATTATACATTAAGGTAATACTGCATAAAATTTAATTCAGGTCATTGATTATTAAAGCTGGTTAAGGTTTTATTGCTCATTCGAACTGATAACCCTGAATATTGATCACTATTTTAGCTTCGACCTAGACCAAAATAAAAGTAGTCCTATGGGTCTGTTAACTTGCATTATACAATGTAATATAATACATATATACTGTACATGCTTTATTTTTTCCAGCTAGATGTTTGATCAACATGTTTTTATATCAGTAATAGCTAGGAATTAATAAATAACGGTTATTCTAAATCTGTAAAATTGACTTAAATAGCATGTAAAATTCTCATTGTACCTTATATAACTATACCTATTTAACTAGTTATTAACAATCTAATCCCAAATATAAAAAATATGTGATTGTTGGTGTGTTTAATAATTGTGATACTGAATATAGTAAATATGCAATTGTTAGCATAGAAATTACTGAATTATCATGTTAAATTATTATGATGCAGAATAATAATTATTAGTTGACTCATGTTGAATTTTCATAATGCCAAGTCATTTTTATCGAATATACTACTTCGTGTACTGAAATTATAGAATATGAAATAAATTGTAATATCTAATAAAAGGACTATTTTTAAAACAAAGTTCTACTTTGATTTTATTTGTTTTTCAAAACACCTTAATATTTTTTCATAACAATAACAATTACTTACCTGTGTCATCACTATGTCGTCGCAAAATATTTCAATTATTTTATCAAAGTCCTTCAAGAGAAATCTACGTAAAAAAAATCTACATGCCATAAAAAAAGCTAAAATTGAAAAGTCCAATAATCCAACTATTGAAGAAGATAATTCCACGTTTAATTCTAGTGTTAACCAGATCGAAGAAAGAACAAATATATTTTATAATCCATTAAAGATATGTATCAAATTACAATATTTTTTTCTTATTGTCAAGGCCATGTCACATATTAATTATATTTTTTCTTAAAGCACAAAACACAAATAAAGACTCACAAATTTACAGAAGAAAGAACCCGTAATTATATTCGAACACAGTAGGTTTCTAAGGACTTCGATGCTAAAGATCTTAAATCATCCAATATATCCTAGCCTTTCACAGTAGTCAGTCCAGAGTCTACATTTATTAAAAAGCTTTTAGAAGAAAGATATCAAAGATGAATTGTTAGCAAACAACTTTCTATTGATAATGATGTCTCTTCGATGCCAGCTCAATATTTAATGTTATTGAAATCAGAAATTTTTCATGCAACATACACTTCAGATTTAACACTCTCAGAATTGTGAAATAAATTTGGACAGTAGATAGGTTTCGATAAGGTTTCTAATCTTAGAAAAAAATTTCATCACCATTGTTATCATATATAGACCAAAATCAACCATATGTATACATGTCACTCTGGTTATACCGACATCTGGATATAATGATATCATAGAAAAATCTTTCTATACTGACATTTTTTTCAAAATTTTAATATAAAATGTCAGTATAACTCACTGTATCGACATTTTGAAAATTTTTACTAATGTCTCAAAAATGTCGATATAACCAGAGTTATATGTAATTTGCAAGTAGAGGCTCAAAAAAATCCTCTAGAGCTTCATGGCATCTTGGAGGTATTCCAGTAACATTCAAACAATAAACTTTTTATTGCAGATGAAACAACAAAGAAAGTTGCAGGTGGCATTCATCTTGATGGCTACAAATATATTTCTAAACCACAATGTTTTAAAAATGCTGTCAGTGAAACATTAGTAAAATTTTTCGATCTTACTAACTCTTTAGCTACTGAAACTGCATAGAATATAGTAGATTAATATTATAATTATACTCTTAGCAATCCATCCTATCAATCAAACCAATTTGCTAAAGATCTAATAAAACATTTTGGCTGTTTCACCAACAGCAACAATGAGCCATATGTCATTATAAACACTGCATTTATGCATTGTAAGGAGCATCAGAAGTGTGTTCGAGGCTTAATTCAAGAGCTTTAACTGATTTCTGATGCTGTTAATAACTATTTTGGTATAACTTATCCAACTCTGTATACCAAAATAAAAAAACTCAATTTTGGTCCTAATGTACCAAATCTTTTGGAGTTTTTCCTATGGTTGACATTAACTTTAATTCTATCTGCCAATTTCACTGAGACTTAAAAGATCATTGAAATACTCTCTGTGTCATCTGTCCACTTAGGAAATTTGAAGGTAGAGAACTAGCATTTCCTGAATTAAAGTTGGCCATTAAAGCAAAGCAGGGACAGGCAATAGCTTTTTAGTCGCACCTTTTGGTTCATGGAAACCTTCTAATTATTTCTAGGATCAGACATAGTATTGTTTTTTATGTCCATGAAACCATCATAAAGCAAAGGCGAAAATTTGAATCTCTTTTTGATAATTGTGATTTGAATCTAGAAGAGAATAGTGGTAAAAAAGAAAAGAAATTACAAAAATATGCTCCTCTTAAGTTAGGTTCTTGAAGCTCTGGGGTTAGATTAAAAAATCATCAGCATAGTCATCTTAGTAAGCACATTATTTAATTGATTTTATTATAATTTACAATAGAATGAACCTCATCTAAATCTGTTTCAATATAAGATCTTGAACCTGCGAAGAAGGGTTTACTAGCAAAATATAAAAAATAATATTTATTATTTCAAATGTTGGAATCATCTAAATGTTTGCCTACTAATTTAATTTATCATACTACTGTATATCTTTATTGTCATATAAATATTGAGTGTACAGACCTGAGTTGATATATTATGTAAATCAAAATTATATGTGGTTATATAATTTTCTAATAATTAGATATTTTTAAGTATTTGTATATACATATGTACATGGCTCATACATTTTTTTTGTCCAAAGTCTTAATACAAATTGATCTTTATTAGCACTCTTACAAGCTACAGAAGTGATTTTTACATTATATATTAGAAATAAAATTTCCTAATCTAACTTTCTTGCACTTGTTATAGTACTTGGATTGTTTGGAGAATTATTAAATTAATTGGTAAAGTGATCAGCATTACAATTTGACATGCGCATATAAATTTTTTAATTAAAATATAAATTCATTCTGTAATTTTGTTTTTCAAGACTTAATAGTAATTTGTTCAAATTTTTATATAATCTAGATATATATAATTTTGATTTAGATAGTGCATCCACTCATATGTAGTTATTAAAATAATGCACATATATATTTATAAGTATTTATTTGAAGCCACCTATTATTCCTCAAATATATTAGTATTCAATCGTGATACAGTTATTAATAGTATGTCGATTGAACATCCCATGAATGCTTTCTCTACTGCATGCCTAAACTACCTATCTCGAATAAAAATTTCAAAAAAATTAGTGACATAGTTAGGATGTATAAATATTTATAGCTTATTATTGTCTGGTAAACCATCTTTTAAAAACAAATGAAAAGATATTTAGCATCAGAATTTATCATATACACATACGTATACGTATCACAACCAACACCAAACATAGTGAGCCATATACCAACTTGAAACATTCCTTGAGCACTACATGCATAAGGCTTATATAAACCTTTTATTTTTTTTATTATTTTTTAAATCCACCCATTTCTACATTAGTCAAGCAAAAAATTTCATTTCTACTACTGAAGCAATAAGGCCTCTAACTATGTATCTTTTATATTAGAGAAATATTATGGCACAGGAACTCACATTAAATAGTTTAGAATCTGCATACTCCCTTCCTTGAAAGCATGTCATATATTTCATATATATTATTAAAAAACATTATCACAAAAGGCATGATTGTCAGATTATAATTGTCTACATAGTAAGGAGAAGAAGACCTGATGAGCTTCCCACAGTTTAGTCCACTGAGCTACGAGATGAGAAATAGTTTGAATGTATCCACCTCACTATACTTTTTCTCTGATAGTCATACAAAAAATTTCATCTATAACTTTAGACAAAAGGGCCTTTGACTTAATATATTTAATTAATATTCATTTATTACAATACCTCTCACAAAAATTGAATCTGGAATTAAGGAAGTATTAAGTTAATAAAATCTAATAGGTCTATAAACAATATAATCATTAAAAAAATTATAAGTCAAATAATCATTAAATATGTCTAATTTAGTTATTCCTATTGTTATTGACAAAAAAAATAGAAGATTACTCAAACCTTTTAATAACCATCCTGGGTATGATCTGAAATATGTGGAATCATATATTAACAAATAATGTGGTATTAATGATTATCATCGATTTTTTAATGAACTCTTTGAAACTGAAAGACGATATGATACACTATCAGTTATTAAACCATCTAAAACTCCAGTACAGTGGGCTATTCGGGTTAAAGTTCTTTTACAAGAGCTAGTCTCTGAGAGAAAGAGGAGCATTTATCATACACATGCTCTATTTCTAGCATTTGGTAAAGGTAAATTTGTAGATCATAATTACTACTGACCTAGAATTCATAAAACTCATATGGCAATTTGTCTTGATTGTTGAAAATTGATTCAGGCTAATGATGAGAAGCCAAAGAAGATATATGCTAATGCTATATATAGATATATTGAAAGACTTGAATCAGCAGATTTGATGAAGCAACATTGGGATTATTCATGTAGCAAAGCTAAAACTAGAGATGGCTCAGCAAGAATTATTCAAAATGCTTAGAGACAATTCAAAGAAAGGGACCCATCAAATGCACAGCTTGCCTGGTTGAGTTTACCAAATAATAATACTCCTAAAGAAGTGAAATTTCTAGGTTTAACCCCTCACAAAGTGAAAAACCCAATCTTTCTAGATCAAATTAAAATGTGTCTTAATAAGGAATATGGCAAATATATAAAAAAATATAATAGACTTCCATATATTGCTGAATTTAAAATTAGTAGATATCAGGAATATATTATTCCATACAATTGGATAGATAGAAAGAAAAACCAATTATGGAATAGATTTTAAGAGCATCTTTTAAAACTTAAAAACATAAATAAAATCGATTTATTAATATAATATTTTTTGTAGATAGATAGTTGTTCACCATTTTTCTAATGCTATTCTTGAGAGTAGGAGGCACATAAGTGTCATTGTTTTACAATAAGCTATGAGTCTCTGACTCATTACAATTGGGTATGTACAAAGTGAATAAAAATCTAAGAAGTGCATACTATAACACTATAGACTTTTCATTTCTGTGAAGCAGAACACTTACATGGCTGATTTTTCAGATTCAGAATTCATAGGCTCTGTAGGTAATACATTTTTTGTCTTATGCTTCTGATGTAACTTTATTTCTTTCTGCAAATCTAATGGGGTATCGAACCTCAACCAGATTGCAAGTGGATCATTCTCTGCTCTATTAAGGTCAAATACAATAAACTCACTCTTGCGAAGATAGCTATTAATGACCATTGATGCACTTTTTATATCATCAGTATACTGACCAACAATTTTAGAAACATCTTGAGGAGAACTACCACTGTTAAACATTAATATATAAGAAAAATTCTCATGTATGATCATTGGAACATGATGGTATTTTTGCATAGTAAACATAGGTGAAATATTTTGATAACATCCATGTGTGAAAAATGAGATAATTCGATTTTGTATAGACTTAGGGACAACATATAAATCTTCAAAGATAATAACAGTACTTCTTTCAGGGAAGAAAGATTTTACACTAGGAATTTTTTCAGGTGAGATATAACTAAACTTAATATTTTCATAATATGATGCTCTTGAATTACTTGCAATTATTCCATATATATATTTAACGAAAGCCTATTTTGGTTCATCAAAATGGTATCCACAAACTATCAAATCATTATACCATATATATCTAGATCCACACTTTTTCTTTTTATATATATATTCAGCTTTGTCATCAAGAACAAGATTTCTGAGTATATTAGTCTTACCTGTGCCACTTTTTCCTGTAACTAGCTTAGTGAATAGCCATAACATTGCTGGATGCCCAATACAGCGTGATGAAGCATGCTTTGTAGCCTTATCTATATCCATAAGAAAAAGTTTTATTAGAGGTAATCTTGTTTTTAAGTTTTTCTGCATAATAGATTGGAGATCCATAACTCTGTTTTCTATATACTGGATAAAAATTTTCTTTCTTCCGATAATTCACTTTACTTTGTTCATTTATAGTCGGTTTAGGCACATTAGTGCCCTCACTCTATAAGTATATTCCAGAAAACAAATTGTCAGAGGCAGTCATATGGTGGCTATAATCTGGCTCCGAGTTCAAAGAACAAGAAGGCGGAAGTGGATGAAAAATATTCCTATATATATACCAAATAATTAATATCACTATTATTACAATAATGACAATTTTAATAAAAGAAGAAATCTGATACTTATCATTAACTAAAGCCTTGTCAGCGCATATTGTCTCTTTTATTGTAATATCTTGAATTAATGACTCTGGATTCTGCTTATTTGTAATATCTTGAATCAATGACTCTGGATTTTGCTTATTTGTAATATCTTGAATCAATAACTCTAAATTCTGATTATTTGTAATAATTGGTAATGTTTTATTTTTAAAATATTTTGCAAGACTTTTATAACTCAAAGAGTCACCCTTAAAGGGCCTGCAAAGCAATAACCCTTTGGGTCTAGATTCAGATGTATCTCTAGAATTCGATATGAAACTTTGTTCCTCACTTTGTATATTTTTTTCATTACCTCTCATAACTATTGCAGAGCAATGAGTTTTCAACTCTACAGAATCTAATATATCCTTTGTTTTCTGTAAAACAGAGCGTAAAGCATCTAAATACTTAATTTTTTTAATTTTTGAAGCTAATTCATCTATTGTATTCATTAGTTTATTTTTTATATTCGTTAATTCAGACTTGAGAGATATAATCTCAGATTCTTTTTTTATTATCTTTTTCTGAGTTAAGAATGCATCCTTCTGAGCTGATGCTAACTTACTATTTAATATTTTGTTCATTAACTGGAGTAATTTTATTTTTTTCAATCGAATAATATTCTTGGCTCCATATTTAGTATTGGAAATCTGTAATTGGTTAATTTGAGATATTAAAGTATCTAACTCTGAGCTCATTTGCTTAACCTTATTTATAAGCTGGTAGGTATGCTTGGAGAGTTTCTCTTTATCATTATTAGATTGTTTTAGATCATGTTGTATACACTTATTGTCTTTATCTAAGACAGAACATTTATTGGCAAGTTGATTGCCACACTCTATAGCAATTTCTCAATCTCGATTTGCACAAGCAAGCTGATTTTCAAGTTCCATTCGACTAGATGGTATGTCACCTAATTTACTGCCTTTACCTATATCTGACAATGTATAAATTCGAGACATATGTGTTTTAACACTAGCTTTATTACTATAACACTGAAATAATTTTTTTTTTTTTTTAAACTTATAAGCAGTCATGCTAGTACTTTATTGAGTTTTTGAAATTACATTTGTAATTACATACATATCTCTAATATCTAAGTCTAGCATCACCCAGCCACCTTAACGGTACCTAAGTGCAACCTGTCGCATTACTTCAAACAGAAGTAAGCTACTTGTCTGACTACTTAAAGTTCATAATGAAAAGGTCTTCTTCCTTTCATAACAAATCTCAAAATTGTTTTCATTACTTCTTTCTCAACTTGTTTTTCTTTTTCTCTTATTTCTTCTTTTTTCTTTTCTATTTTTTCTCAGTCTGCCTTCTTTTTTTCTCTTGTTTTCTTTGGAGTTTTATCTTTTTTTCTTTTACTTTTCCCTGTTATTCCAACTTTTTTTTTCCATTCAATAATTTTTTTACAATGTATTCTCCATACTTGTTCATAAAATGTGTTTCAGGCTATTATTGCTACTGTGTTTGCAAACTGCTGTCTTGATCTTGTGTTTAATAACTCTGTTAGTTTGTCTTGTGTTTCTTTTGGAATTAGGTCTTTCATTAGTGTTTTTCTTATTTTGATTTCCTCTATCTCTGTTTTTCTAAAGAGTGTTGTGTATAAAATATATAGAAGAATCCAAATCTTTTCTTCTTCTTTTAATTTTTTTTATATTGTTGCAATAGTTACTTTTTGGATTCTCTTCTAGAGATTTCTTTGCCCTTTATATATTGTCAAGTATGTCTGTGTCTCTTTTACTTTGTCTTGGCATACTTGGCATTCTATTGTCATATATATATTTGGTCTTCTTTTGTTGAGTTCTTCAAGCGTTGGAAGTTTATCTATTATGCACTTAATAAATATACTTCTCTTGGCATTGTTTTTTCTTGTTATGTACCATATTCCTTTAGTCATCTTAAGTCTTTTTCAAAAATAAGTCTAGTCAAAAATTATGATTTCTGCTTCTGGTTCTAGATTTTTAACTACTTTTATTTCTTTCCACTCTGTTCCTAATCTTGTATTTGTTACTAACTTGCAAAGCAGTCTTGCTAATATGTCAGTTCATCTGTTTTTTCATTTTAGGCAGTACTCTATCTTTTTACAACTAATTTTTTCAGTCTGTACTATTTTCTTACTTCTTGTTTCTTTCTTTACTAAACTATTTGCTTTATTGTTTCATTTGTCTTTACTATGATTTTTTATTTTAACTAAATCCATCTAAATATTTTTTGTCTTGACAAGGTCTTTAATCTTCATTAATCACATTGCATTTTTTTTCTTAATAATCTTGCTTCTGTCTGTTTGTTCTAGACTTCTACTGATATTTTTTATGCAGCATTACTATTTATATATAACTCTATCTGCTTCTTCTTAGGTATTGTTAGAATTGCTACCCAAATTGTTATCAACTCTGCTGTTGTCAATGTTTGTCACCTTTCTAGTCTAAAAGCTAACTTTTTTTTTGGTCATTTTTGTGTTTTATTTGTTTGGACCCATCCAATACCCATATTGTTCTTAAATAATGGTTTTTTATTATCTTTCCTATTTACTGCACCATCAGTATATATTATATATTTATTCTTGTTTCTTACAATGTTTTTTTTAAGAATTTTTGTTATTTCTTGACTAATATTTTCTTTCAGTTTTTATTGCTTGATAATTTTTAGCTCTAGCTCTTCTATCATTATAAGATCTTTTAATTTACATTTACTTGTTTTTGGTCTATTTATTTCAGCTTTGTCTATTATTTGGTCTATTGCTATCTTAATTTGATTACTACATTTATTTATTAATCTATCTGGAATCATGCAAATGTTTTTGTTTAATCTTATCTATTGTTGACAACTATTTTCTATTTGTTCTTCTTTACTTATATACCCTTCACATCTATTGATTTCAGTTGCTACTTCATTCTCTTTGTACTTTATTTGCTAGTGTTTAATTAGTGCCTTTTTCTTTTTCTTTTTTACCACCTTTCTGAGTTGTTTATAGTCCTGTGTGTCATATACTATTTATTTTTTTCTTCTTCTATTTTCTAATATATGCTCCTATTTGACTTGCATTGTCTAAGTATTTTGTTCACTTGTTCTATAATATCTTTGTACTACTTTATTCTCTAAGCTGCTAAGCATTTTTAATTCAATTGCTTTGTATCATTCTGCTTTTTTTCTCTTACTTGATTGGCCTTGATGGCTTTTTAACTATTGCCATGTGATTAGTTTTTTTCCTTTTGCATCGAATATTTGGTTTAGATATATTAAACCAGCTTTATTCATTCTAACTGTTCCTTTTTTTCACAGTTATGTATCTACTAATTCTTTTATTTAGGTATCATATCCAAACATTATCTATAGTTCACTTTTTGGTTTAATGTTTATTTTTAATTTTCTTGCTTTGGGTATTGTGAAGCATACAAAATTGTTCTTTAAATATGATTCAATTTCTGGCTGTTCTTCTATCTTCCATATATCTTTCATTAAACCTGCTCTTTGACAGTCTTGTGTTATTCTTAACCTTGTTAGCTGTTCCAGACTGTCTTGTCTGTTCAGTCTTGCCAGGAGACTACTCACTTGCTTCGTAATTATCTTTTGTCGCAGTGTTCTACAACTGTTAAAATTTTTGTATTCTATTACACAGTTTTCTACTGTTCTTTGCAGACTGTTTTTTTGTTTTGCCAGACTTATTATTGGTTGATGTATTTTGTTTAGGCTTCTGTTTGACATCTTTGTTAGCTACAACATATAGCTTAGTTTGAATATTATTACTATATTGTATATATATGTGATCTGATTCATTGTTATTTTTTTGTACTTTAGATCTCTTATAGTTTGGCTTACTATTTCTTTTGCCTTTCGCTTTACTTGTATTTCTCACATTCTGTTGTTTAACCATATTTCCAATGAACAAACTATTTTATGTCTTGGTTCTTCTATTATTTTGCTTTTTCTATATACTACTGCTTTTTCTTCTTTTTGAACTTTCATGTTTATTATTATTAATTTTGACTTTGATCTATTTATCTCTATATCATTCATTTTGAAAAACTCTTTTGCTATTTTTAAGATTTCTAACAATTGCTTTTTACTGCTTGCAATCTATGTTGTATCATCTGCATATGCAATTGCAGCCTGACAATATCTTGTAATATTGCTGCATTGCATGTCTTTTTGCAAATGCTGCTTAACTGTATATCCTAAACTTTCTTCTTCTTGGATTCTTTCTAGTAATAGGTCATAAAAGAGATGCCATATTAATGGTAAAATTACTTTTCCTTGATCTATTTTATCTCCTGCTATTAGTTCTTCTATTAGGTCATAGGCTGTAATTATTCTTAATTGTCTTTTGTGAAAAAGATTCAGTATATATTTAATTGTTCTTTTGGGTATTTTGACTCTTTGCAATACTAGTTCAAGGCTTTCGAAAAAAACTAAATCAAATGCCTTTTTCATGTCTTACAACAGTATCCATATTTCTTTATCTTTTTCTTTTGCTTCTTTTATTATCATGTTTAAGATCTGTACTGGTTGTTCTGTTGAGTTTCCTAAGAGATCTACAAAATTTGGCCCTCTAAGTATTTCTCTCTCTATAAATACTTTGATAACCCTTTTCATTACCACCTTTGTTACAACTTTTCTGAATGTTTCAATTAATACTATTGGGCAAATGTTATTTAAGCTATATCCTCACTTTATATCTTTTGGTATAGGGTATACTTGTGCTATTTTCTACTTTATTGGAATTTCTTCTACTTCTAAACATAAGTCTGTGAAGCTTCTGAAGACTTCTTGTATTTTCATTCCTGCTTTCTTAATCAATATATAACTTATACCTAAGATATCTAGAACTATTTCTGTCTTTAACTTTCTTAGTACTTCTTTCTATTCTTTTTCCTTAATTTTCCTTTCAACTTCCATATACCATTTCTCTTTAATGCTTTCTCTTGATTTATATATCTCTTTCTACTTTTCTGTCATTGCTTCTAATTTGGTATTTCTTTTTCTAAACTGCATTCTATAATGTTCTACTACATTTGTCTTTACCTCTTCTGACTTTGTTATTAGATATGTCTCCCCTTCTCCTTGCTTGATAAGCCTATCAAGCACTATCTTTTTGTATAGTTTATTTAAGAAGCTGGCAAGCATTTTTCCTTGGTCTGTCTTAATCATTTCACATCTTTTATCTATATTTTCTTCTATTCGTCTTTTTTGTACTTGTTTCTAGTTTTTCTTCTTTTTTTTCTGTAAAAGCTTTTGCTATTCTTTTATATCTTCTATTTAGGCATGTAACCAATGCTTCTGTAATTTTGACAGTTTTGCACCTATCTTGTTGCCTAGTGCTTTTAGTTGTTCATTTGTTCTACTTTTTTTTTCTTCTGTTACTTCTTGGTCTTTTTTTGTCTTTGCATATTTGATTAATCTTTGTAACTTTACAATATCTTTTTCTTGTTGCTATGTTTTCTGACTGGTTTTTCTATTTGTCATTGTGTTATATATTCTTTTTTTGATATATTCTTATTAGCTGCAATGATAATTGCTTCTTCTATAATGTTCTATATAATATTTATTTTGTTTATATATTCCTCTACATCTTGTACCTTTGTTTAGATGCTTTTAAGACTTTCTTTTACTTCTAATTGTCTTGCAGCTCCTGTGTATAATTTTTCCAATTTTCTGGTTTTGCCTGATTATATAGATATAATGTTCTTGATTGTTCTTTTCTTTTAACTTCTGCTTTACTGTTTCTCTCTATCATATGTTTAATCTATATTTCTGCAATTATAATTTTATGTTCGCTTTCTGTAATTCCTTTTGTTTCTTCTATATTTGCCCTTTGCAAACCCAAGGCCAACTCTTCTGATATCCAAATATAGTCAATTCTTATTGCAACTTCTCTGTTTGATCATGTGTAGTTTTGGCTTGTTAGATACATATTTTTATATGTATCTATAAAGTCTTGTTTTCTTATCTAGTTAAAGATTGGCAATCTTTTAAAGTTTGCT